CGAAGAGTTACCATGGGGTTGGTTTCAATTCCTTGGGATGGGTACAACTGGTGTTGTGACTGGCAGCTAGGAAGGAAATCGTGTTCGGCGCACCAAATCCTTACGGGTCTAGTCTACAGATTGCAGCTGCGCCAAGGGGTGGCCAATTAAGACAACCCAAGTTAGTGTTAGAGGCGCTACTTTTCTCTCTTTGGGTACAGTTGTTACCTCTTTTATTTGTTCTTTCCATTTGTTTTGCGTCTGAGGACAACCGCTCTTATATGGGGGGGAGTGATATTGTGATTTAGCTGACTATCAAGTCTTTTTGCCATAGTTTCTAGATCACAACATGTTGTTGTTGGGACCAAACCTTTGGGAAGAATTGGGTAGGTTTCATTATCTTTGATTCCTGAGAATATGGAGACATTGTCTGGGATACTAGCCTGTGCTGGATGCCTTGGAAATGTATTGGAGTTCTGGGGATTTGGGGTGTATTCGTTGCCTGACATGTTGTTAAAGTGGGCACACCAAATATTGTATCTTAATTTGGTTGTATTTAGCAAATGTGCTGGCTGATTGTAATGAACTTGTTTCAGTTACCTCGCTCCCTGCCTCCGGCGGTCCTAGGTGCACTCTGCGGGTGCCATCCCTCGGGGGTGGGCCGCGGTGGTGCACAACATAATATCCCATTTGTTATGGCCCAAGGTGGGCAACGGCCTCACCCTCTGACTGGCTCTGGGGGAGATCCGGCCTTTGGCCTATAGTAAATTGGAGCTTGGTTGGCTCTGCTTATTACCTTGCTCAACCTCCTCCCCTTTTGCCTAGTCAGGTCCCTAAACTTAGTGCAACGTGATCTAGTGGTGACCCAGCTGCAATACCTGCAACACAAAGCGACAGCTGCAACACAACAAATGGGCTTCAACCCTAGTACCCTTACGCGTTGCGAATAGGGTTGTTGGTCTTCACATGTTCGGTTGCACCATAGGTGCCTGGCACAAATCAGTATCTCCTGCTGAATCCACCTGAAAATTTACTAATTCGGCAATTGCCTAGCAAAATCAATCCCCGAACACCAATCGTCCCTCAGTAATGCTCTGCAAACTCACAAAAATGGGCCTTGGGTATATAGCATGGCGATTCAATCTGGGATTGGGGTTGATCGCTCCCCGATGGATCTGGAGGCTTCTAGAAACCCATGGCCCCCCCAGGCCGCAAGGTTACTCTAGGTTGTTGCGCCTCTTGCTCTGCTCCCAGCTTCGAGCTTTACGATCCGAACCAATTTGTTATGGCCTTGTCGGCGGCCACTAGTTTCCACAGGCGTTGGGGTCACCCTGCCTTGCAGTACGGCTATTGGAGATTAGCCAGTTTGTCCACCTCGGATGGTAGGCATATCTAGAGCAGTCAACTACTTGGTCATGCAATGGGCCCAATGCTCGACAGAGATTAATCCCTGGGGCCTATTGTCGGCGACAGGTAGCAACACAGCGATGTGGTGGTTCGTTGCCTTACAGAAGGCCATAGAGTGGGCCAAGGTGTTAAATGGATTCAGTGCCTGTGCGCGCACTTATTGCATATGGATTACGCGATCGTGGGTCCATTGCAATCAAATCAAGGCAAGACAACTCAAGAGTGTGTCCAAGCACTTCGTCACCGTCCCCCGTCACCCATTACTGACCCATTTTCCCATTAACTTAAGTACTAGCCCTCTTCCATCTAAAGCCTAAGTATTACAATTTTAGATAGCCATAACTTCCTTAGTTCTTAATGGATTTGGGCATTTCAAAAGCCTAGAGGCATCAAGAGCTTTTAAAAAGTTGTACGAAGGGTTGATATATAGAGATTACTAATTACCACTCTAAAAAATGCTAATAAGCCTAACCCGAAGCAGCCACGTCACAATAAAAAGCCTGCACCAATTTGGTGTGCATGCTACATTGAGTTGTGATTACCACAATTTGCTACTAATAATGCAATCAATATGGCAATAGATTTTTTGGTATTCTTTCTTGATAATAATGACCACCCAATTTCGAGATCAATCAATTCTTCAATAAAAATGTGTTAATTAGAGTTGTACAAGCAATGAATTGTGGTGTAAAGCATAGGGGGTAGTATATTTCTTTGATTATGGGTATATGGGAAGTACGATAAACATCAAGAAATAATTTCATCCCTTATTAGAGCTTACTAAAACCCCAAAGTTTTTTTATTGCTCTATTTGTGTTAGCGGTGGTGGAGATGTAGTTATTGGAAGTTATAATACTTAAGGTACACTTTGCGACCATACTAGGGAATGAGATATTATTTATATGGTGACTTGTCTGCAATGTCATGGAACACGGGGTATGCCAAAAGGGCAACCCCGATGCACAACGAATTGTAAGTCTTGCTGGTCACTCACTCCCCATGGTTGCACCGGAAGCCGCTCCGCTATTGCGCACCCATTATGCGCACTGCAGCCCCCCCACTCCCCTGGCCATGCTGCAGGCCTTGGCCTACATTGCACACCCTAAAGCAACGAGCGCCCTAGACAGTCTGCCGGCTATCCGGCGAAGGAGGCCCCACCAAGATTCATTAAGCACCATGGCAAGCAATTGCCCGCATAACAAAACTAAAAACCATGCCATGAACAAGTGGATGGTCAAGATTGATGGCTAAGAGATGATCAAGAAGAGGTGTAGACCAGCTTTATCAGTGCACAAAGTTGAGCACATGAGCATGCCCGTATATCCCATCAACAAGAGGTATATAAGAAAGTCCAAATTAATCCTCTCAACACAAATTCTATTTATTGACCATCACCTCCTGCCAAGCCAGAGAGGTGTTAGATGGAGCCTTTCAAAATGGGAAAAGTAAAACCCCCCATAGGCAAACACGTTGGACCTTTCACTCCCCTGGAAGGGTCATCTTACCTTCCACATTTCGAATGAACGGATGGAGAAGCCACCTCCACCCATTTTAGCTGAGGGAAATGAGGAGTATGAAATGGAAGTAATGCTAAAACATAATGGTAAGGGAGCTTAGCGTCTCTATTTGATGCATTGGAATTGTCATCCAATCACTAGGCCAATTGGGAGCCTAAATTGCATTTGGGGAATTCTCCACTTCTTTTTGAGAAGTACCCACACCAAACCTCCAATATATATGGATGGTAATCGTGGGCCATGAGAAGAAAGGCGGCTACTTTGGGGGATGATTCAACAAATGTTGTACTACCAGGATGGGCACAACTAGTGCTGGGGCACGAAATACAGAGGAAATCATAATGGGGGCAACAAATTCATGCACCATGTTGATGTTTTGCAGTCACGCCAATACCATGTCGAACAGTCATAGATCATTCTGAAGCAAGGAGCCTTGGCCTATTCGTTCCCTGGGTATTTTGTTCTTTATTGTTTTTTATTGTTTTTTATGTCTCTTCACTTTTGGGTCATGCATACAAGGGCAGCCATTTCCCTAAAGGGTGAGTGACATTGCGTGTTCATGCCATTTAGCAACTTGAAATGATCATGTTGTTGCTGGATCGTGTGGCTTTTGATTGGGGCCTTGGGCAGTTTACTGTTTCTCTCAATTGGGGTGTTCTTCATGATGTTGATGAGCAGTTAATGGGCCCACCCAAGTGATTATCACTATTCCAATGTAACCACTCTCACGCAATCACGACTCCACAAGTATGGCTGAAAATGGCTCTCAACATTGTGCAACCACAAGACCAGAGGCGTACGAGCTGTTGTGATCTTGGCCAAGGGCCTCACACAGACGTTGGATAGAAAACTCCAGCAACAACCAGGTGGCGCTGCCCATTTTGTGATCTCAACCTTGAGAGATGAGTCTCACACAGGAATCTTGGGCCTCTGCTATGGAGCCAAATACCTAGGAGTTTTTTTCATGGACACGCCCCTCACTTCCCTGCGGCGTCCACAAGAAATGGTGCAAAGATGGAAAAGACCTCGAGAGAGGACAACAAAAACTCAGTCACACACCACAACCGATGCTCGTTGCAGTCGCACCACCACCACACCACCACACCCACTGCACACTGGGAAGGAAGTGCGATCAACTACTAGTATGTACATGACTAAAGCTTGTGTGTATTGGTACTCATACACCACTCGCACCCTTGCCAACGCTGATCATCCACCCAATCTGGGCTCCGCCCATGTGTCCACCTTTCAAAGTGTTCAATTATTTCTCCACAATGCTACCCATATGACAAACCCATTCTAATCATTCGAGAAACGTTCAAATTATCCTGATCTGCACGTCTCAACGCCTAAATCACATCATTGTGTTTCATCATCAAAATCATTACCATACCCTCATATTTACATTGCTCATTGCCATAATGGTTGGTTACAGGGACATTGTGTATTCCTGGCACTTAGCAACCCGGGAATCAACATGTTAGTTGCTGGGGCATGTGCCCTTGATTGGGGCCTTGGTTAGCTTTTCTTTCGCTCAAACTGGGGTTTAAGTCATGGCTTCATTGAATAATTAATGGGCGCACCCAATTGACTATCAATTGGGCACAGAACCTCCGTACATTGTACCTCTATCAATGACTGGCTGTTGCAAGTTGTGTACCTCTGCCTCCTGAGCGTGGAGCGTACCACGACATATCATCCATCCATGTCAACAAGTTAGCTATTTTTTGTGGGACAGACAGACATTCGCTAGTTTGATCGATTAGCAATGCTAACCCACAGATAGACCATCTGTCCATACATTTGCAAACAGATGAGGAGATCCTTGGCCAATTGTGGTTGGATGAGGAGACCCACATCAATAATCCAAGGAATGTTCAATAGCAAGAGCAAGAACAACGAAGTTAGACAACATCTTGCACCAGTGCAGGCCAACAGTCAACCACAGGCTTGATATAACATCAATCCAAGTGAACTTCTTCACATGTATGTCCTAATGAAACAAACATGTTACCATAAGAAGGAAAGACCAAGTTCTGTAAAAATGTGTCATATCACAAGATTGAAAATTGGTATAGAAAAAATAGAAATGAGTACCTTTGCAAGGGCAACGGATATCATCATAAGTGCACAACACATGTGGCGGAGCGCTCTCCTCAAGCCTCAGTGGACAGACGTTGATGTCCACAATTGTCATCGTGATTGCTTGGAGAGCATTGTTTGAAGTCTGCTCCCATCTCCCAGTAGGACCATGCAACTCAAAGTGCAGACCCCATCCCAGGGCAACAACTGGCAAGTTTGGCTGGATCGTTAATTGTCCATGTGGCAATGAAATTGGCACCGCATTTGTGGCTGCCTTGGGAAGCACCACCAGTGCAATGTCAAACCCATCTTGGAATCTACCATTCCACCGAGGGTGCAATATCAATTTGTCTGCCCTTGTGACCTACACATATATCCAAACATTCAAATAATGAGCACTGAAATGTCAACAATTTTAGTATGCACAATTTTACGTGTAAATCCAACTAGCACCACAGCAGGCATGTGCATGTTTGCATGGAACATCTTATTCACAACAATTGACGACCTCCTGTTGGCCAGCCCAGCAACACTTTCCAAAAGCCCCAACGCACCCACATAAAGACATGTTGCCCTTACAATGTTTCTCATACATACTCTTTGTTCCAGGCGCACCGGGCACAAATGGCATGTTCTCACCTGTGCTCCATCGTTTCTGTTATCATCATTGACATAATGGCCCCCAATCTGGACATAGGGATTGCACCCAATGTCAACCTCACAGTGTGCTGCTGTCAGCACAAAATGGGGATGGACAAGGACACCACCACAAATGTGAGATCGCCCCTCAAAGGTTGGCCTGAGGCTGACAACGTAGGAGAAACGCCCAGGGTGTGCTTCATGACCTCCCTATACAACACTCTATGTGCCATATCAGACTGCAGGTAGCTGTCCGCAAGCAACGTACAGCTTCTTGCTTTTCCACCGGCATGCTTATCTCTGCATATTCAAAGTGAGCTCCAAGGCAAGTAACTGAATAAATGGCAGAATGTAAGGTTTTAGAGTGGAAAAGTGGAGCCTGGCTTCCATGTCCTCATCAACAAATCGCAACATTGTCAATTGGTGCACAAACATACCCTGGAAAGACACTCAGCTGTGGCCGCAGATTTGTCCTGCAGCTCTGCATGTGCATTGAACAAGGTGGTGGTGTCGTCTTGGCTGCCATCTTTGGAGTGTCCACAGGCACCATTCAACCCATGTGCGACTGTCCTTAGGCACACCAGCATGCACAAAAAGGAAGTCCCACTTTTTGCAAACGACCAGCACACTGCCATAGCTTCAGCAAGGGCAGAGAAAGAGCCACCATCAAGTGCCAAACGCTGAAAGGAATCTGCAGCGACACAACACACTTTAACAATGAAGCTGAATCGAGCATGGAACCCGTGCATGTCCATGCTGTCACATGGGCACCTCCTGGTTTCAGCCATCCTTGCAGGTCCTCTTGGTCTTTCCCCTTGGCCTTTGCAGGCCAAATTGCACTTGTTGTTCCAACATGCTGCATTTTTAGCACTCTGCTTGGGTACTGAAAGACTAACGTTGTGCAATGAAGCAGACAAGCCACTTCTGCAACACAGCTGCTGCCACTTGACTGGGTTATTGGGCCGTTCTTTCTTGGCAGACGTTGCCAGTAACTAAGTTGGTGGAGTGTATCAACTGTCTGGCTTGCAGCGTGTTGGAATTGGGTTCCAAGTTTAACAGGCCAGGCAACATATGGAGTACTGTTTTCCAGCTGCAGAGTAACATAGACGATATGTGTTTTCTCCATGGAGTGGTCAAGATACAACCAAAAACTTCCTCAACATGTCTGCACATATCTACCCTGAAATTCAGGCTGCAAAACGCCAGTTCAGATTTCGATTGAGCAAGCAAATCTGCAATACCATCACAACAGATGTTGCACACAAGATGTTTCACTGGTTAAAAACATTCTCAATGCAGCAATTCAAGCAAAATGGCACCAGCTCTGTTCCAAACTACAGGTTCAAAGCAACATGCCCACTGCAGGGCTGCTCTCAACACTGGGTTATCCACGAAGTTAAAGTGCTCTGCAATCGTGTACAACAGCAAAACCTGAAATATGTTAGGGTGTATTAGAATAGACTGTGTTAGATCCGATAAGATCAGGAGAGATCAGTGCAGTCGATATCAGATCGCGTTGGATGGTGGTTTGGGTGAGACGAGGCCAAGTGGCCCTGAGACGCCACGACGATTGCCTGTTTCATCTCTCATGCACTATGATCATCAAGGGACACAAGTCGTCATGAGTCAAGCGCCACTGGCATCGAGCTGCGAAGGCTCTTAGAGCCCTGTTCGGGCCATGGGGAACACAATCAACAATTTGGACACCCCACGCACCCCCCCGGAAACAATCCCAAAGTGCGCTCGGATGGGATTGAAAGATGGCTGGCACCCTATAGCCTTGGCGGAGTTGCGGTGATCGACACTCAAAACCAGCACTTTAGGAACATGGCAAATGCTGGAGAGGTTGGGCAATGTGAGGTGCTGCGTTCACAGCCAGGGATCGGAGGTCCCAGGACGAGCGAGGTTAAACTGCTGACCAAGGAGGGGGCCTGAGGGGGCGGAGCTTGCATCGAGGGGACGGTTTGCTCTGTAGCGAGCCCCTGATGGCGGGCGCTCCTTGAGCCTAGTCTTCGCTGAGCCTCTGAATCATCGGGTGTACTGCGTGGCTTTTCAGGCCAAGGTCAGGGTGCGGTGCAGCGGGATCCGCGAATCCCGTGGTAGGTGATGTCGGTTTTGCAGCGTCGGCATGGGGCGGATTCTCCCTGGGGCACTGGTAATCCTGGAAACACGTGGATCTGGGCGATCCGACAAGTTGTGGTAGACTGCAGAACACGTACTGTCAGTATTGTAAGGACACGTGCACCACATCGACCGCCTGAAATAAACCTATCAGCTCACCCACTCACCTATACAACCGAGCGAGCGAGTTGATAGGGGTCCCCAAATGTCGGCTGGAAAACGAACCAAGAAGGGCTCAGAGGAAGGAATCATAAAGTAGGGGGATCAATAGAAGTGACCAATTTCGCATATGGAAAGTTGGGATTCGTTGGTTTTGAATTTGTTCATTTCCAACATTATAAAAGCATGGCAAATAACTCCATCAACTTCATCTAAGCGTCAGTTGCTATGGACAACAATGACCCATTAATGGCACCAAAACCGTATTAAGAGAAAATTGCATGAAAGTTGTATGGCTAGAGATGAAAGATAAAAAGATCCATTTACAATGCAATCCTCAAGCTATACAACCTAAAGCACAAAGGGTATTATGTTATGTGCAATTGCTCATTGGAATAAGGGGAGTATGGCAAGGGATCAAGTTGCAAGGTGCATCCAGGCTTGGTTGTACGCTATAAAAAATTGGATGTATCTAACTTTTTACATGTAAAAATGCTTTTTATGTTCTGATACATAAAAACATAAAAAATGTAAACACAACACACACACACAAGGACAAACATGCGCGTGCGCTGTGCACACAACGTCCTCTGATTAACTCGGTTATGTGGCAGTTGAGCCTGTGAGGCAGCATAGACACCTATGTACTATGCACTGGAGCCGTATAAAATAACTTGTTCCCACCCTTGTAACTCTATGTGCTATAAAGAGTACAGTCAGCTAGATGTCACTTCCCGCCCGTGCACTCATAGGGTGTACGTCATGTCAGTATCGCACTATGTGGAGGAGCTAGGCTGCGTGCCCTGAGGTAGCACACTAGGCTGGCAAGCACCCGTGCACTAGGGCCCAAGCATGGTACAAACGGCTGGTGAGAGCGGCCTCTGAGCGTGCGAGGGTGGCGCCTCCCGGGCACATGCTCCCGGTGCTTACACCTATTTGGATTGGCGGCAGGTGCTAAAAGGAGCGAATGCCCAAGAGGGGCCAATGCTCCCAGCGTGCAACGCTGCCCTAGGTAGCATGGTTAGGAGCCTTTGGGGTGCAAGAGGTGACCCTAGATTGACCCCTCGAGGGTGCCCAACCATGCCACTTATGGGGGCCTTATATGCCCCCCGCCACTGGCTGAGGTGGCATTCGCAAACTGTGTGAGGGGCGCACAGATTGGCGCCTTATAGCCACCAATCGGTGCTAACCATGGAGGCCTGGAATGGCTTCAATATACAATGTGAATGGACACCCACGAGGTGGCAGAGGAGTTGCCAGATTGGCACCTCATAGGCGCCCATTTGCACCTCCCGTGGTCAACTAGAAGGCCCTCTACCAGTTGTTCGAATGGGTGTCCACGAGGCGCAAGCTCTAGAGGATAGGTGCCTCACAGGCACCCATTTGTACCACCCACAGTCGCCTAGAACGAGCCTTACTAATGGTGTGAGTGGGCGCCCACTAGGCATGAGATGCATTGTATGATTGGCGCCTCATTTGCGCCCAATCACTCTGCCCACTTGGCTTAAAATGGCCCCTGCCAATGGTGCGAATGGGTACCCACAAAGTGCGATATGGGGGGTTGGATTCGTGTCTCATGGGTTGCCATTCGTGCCACCCCTGAGCATCTAGAAATATCCAAACCAATGACACGAATGGGCTTCCAAGAGGCGGGAGATGCACCGCGCGATTGGTGCCTCACCAGCATGCAATCACCCTGCCCGCCCAGTCTTGAAATAGCCCCTGCCTATGGCGCAACTATATGACTATATGCTTGCAAGCCATGAAGAGTGCCAGGGGATACATGCCTTATGGGTAACCTATTCCCACTGCCTGCTCTAGCCTTCAACGGCCTCCACCAGTGGTGGTGGGAATGGGTGCCCGCATAATTGGAGAGATATCCTGATTCACCCCTCATGAGTGCCCATTCCCGCTACCCACGGTGACCTGAAACGGCCTCCACCAATAGCACAAGTGGGCACCTGTGGGGCACGATGTGTGCCAAGGGATTGGTGCCTCATGCGCACCCATTGCTTCCTCCCTCAGTGTCTTAGAACCAGTTATGTGGGTGGTGGGCATGGGCATTTGCGAGCCGTGGGAGTCGCCAAGCAATTCATATGAATGGGCGCCCACGAAGCCTAAAATGGGTGGCATGATTGGCAGAGTGTAAGTGTGAGAGCAGAATGTGAGAGCTTGAGTGGCCCATTCCTGACGCATGTGCCACTTTGCAATAGTCCCTTAATGTGGCATGAATGGGGCTGAGCAAGTGGCGAGGCCGTGGGAGTGAGTCACAGCTCTTGGCTGCATATTTTGACCACTTACCATAGGCTAGAATGGACTTCACGGTTGGCAAGAATTATTACCAGTTGAGCGCGAGTGACACCAAGTGATTCACCCATATGTGCACCCATTTGCACCACTTGTGGTCGCCTAAAATGGCTTCCACCAGTGCAGTGAATGGCCACCAACAATGCGGGAGATTTGTGCTCTGATTCGCCACTCCTCGCTGCCCATTCCATACTTGGGGTTAGACAATTATTGAAATTTTTTCTGGGTGTTGCCGTTGGCGTCGGCCAGTGAGAGTGGCGGCGCCTGGTCCTTCTTGGTACCGAACAACTGCTTCATGGCCGTTGCGGCTGCTAGATGCCTGGGGTTTGCAATGGGGGTTGGCCTGTTGGCATGAAGGCTTGCTTTGCAAGAATGTGCAGTCCTAGGCGGTGTGTAACTGAGTGGAAGTGTGGTTCCAACGTGCTTTTAAACACCCAATTCTATTAAGAAATAACAAAGTTATGGCCTCCTAAAGCTATAGTACTTAGGGCCAAGGGGGTCGGGTATTAGATGCTTGAATTTAGAGGACAATTGGTCGATCGTGGGTGAATGGGGGATGGTGACAATGTGCCCGGATGCGCACTGTGCTGTCTTGTCTTGATGTGACTATGATGGATATGTGATCAAGCATCGCGCATGCAATATGTGCTCGCACATGTGTTGAATCTGTGTAACTCTCTTTGGCCCACTCTTTGGCCTCTTGCAAGCTAGCGAACCACCACTGCACTGCGCCGCCACCTCTTGCTAATAGCAGGCCCTGGGAATCGATCCCCATTGAGCATTGAGCCCACTGCATGACCACCGAATCGACTGCCCCAATTACACCCACCGTCTGAGGTGGAGAAGCCGGCCTATCTCCAATGGCCAAACTATACAGCAAAGCAACCCCAACGCCTCCAAAAACCAGTGGCAGCTGATGGACTGCAACAGGTTGGTTTTGGAACGTGAAGGCTAGAGTCGGGAGCTAAGCGAGAGACACATCATCATAGAATGAACGCACGACTTGAGAGGGTTGTGGATTCTAGAAGCTTCCATTACCACGGGCAGCAGTCAGCACATTTGCGTATGCTAAATCACCATATTGTGTGCCTGAGGGATTTTGTTTGTAAAGTCTGAGGAGCTAGCGCGTGGGCCCAAATGCCATGGTTTTGTTGGCGCCCTCGGATCCCTCCATCGCCCAGTGGTCCACGTATGCTTGGCA